AGTAGATATTACAAGAATAGAAAAAACACGCTATTCAAAAAATATTCAAAAAGTGGCTCTGCGCTCGACTATTCTGCTTACACGGTGGCGAGGCATAGATTTAACTCCCTCAGCCGCCATTATTACTGCAAATACCTTCAGTTCATTAAATCCTCTCTGTTTGCTAATCCTAAATACTTTTTTAAATTTTTTAACTCTAAAAGAAAAATTTCCACATGTCCCTCTCATATTTTTGGCTCTGATTCCTCGGATGATTTTGAAATTTTAAATCTGTTTGCTGAGTATCTCCGACGAAACTTTTCGATTGCTAATTTCGATTTATCAGCAAACTACCCATATCCTATAACTAACTCTGTCTCAATTCTTAACTTTGTAATTTCGGAAGATGACGTTTTTAAAGGGATGAGTACTCTGAAATATTGTTGTACGCCAGGACCTGATGGAATTCCATCATGTGTACGTAAATCTTGCGCTGTCGAGCTATGTGATGTGATCTCAAAGATTTTTAACCTGCCCTTGAATTTAAGTGGTTTCCCATCGTGTTGGAAGGGTATTTTCCTTATTCGTATCCACAAGAGTGGAAGTAGGCAATTTGTTGAGAACTACAAGGGTATAGCCAAATTGAGTGTGTTGCCCAAGTTGTTCGAATAAATTGTGACTCAGCATTTGGCCTTTGCCATTAATTCGTATATTTCTCCGCAACAGCACGGCTTTCGGAAAGGGCGATCTACATTCACTAACTTGTTAGGATTTACTTGTCATGTTTTCAAAGTTTTTTCTAGTGTCTCTCGCACTGATGTGATATACACTGATTTAAGCAAAGCGTTTGATATGGTTAACCATAACTTACTTATCTTTAAACTGCAAGCCTCTGGCTTCCCTTTCTTTTTAGTGAAATGGATAAGCTCTTATCTGCACAATAGATCCTTCAGGGCTTGGTTCAACTTAATCACCTCGGATGAATACCCCGTTATATTTGGCGTACCTCAAGGAAGTCACTTAGGTCCCATTTTATTTAGTTTACACATTAACGATTTTCCATCGGTGGTTAATTCTAGCCAGATCTTATGGGATGATGTGAAACTGTTTTCCTCCTTCGCTGTTGAATCGCAATCACATCAGCTTCAAGGTGACTTGTATAATTTTCTTACGTGGTGCTCTGTGAATCTTCTGAAACTAAATCTGAGTAAATGAAGAAGAAAGTCATTCATTACTCAGTATTTCATAGATTCGCATAAGTTGGAGGACGTCGATTCGATCACAGATTTAAGCGTTCTATTTGACCATAGGTTACGTTTCAACTTGCATATTGAGCTCTCGATAAGCAAAGCTAGGTCCGCGCTTGGTTTTATAAAAAGGTGGTCCAAAGAGCGCCATGATCCCTACATTACGAAAAGGCTGTACATGTGTTTGGTTAGTCCCATACTCGAGTACGCCTTTGTTGTGTGGTGTCCTTCATATAGGTGCTATGTAGATTCAATTGAATCTGTTCAAAAGCAATTCTAATTGTTTGCCGTTAGAAATTTGGGTTGGGATCCGATTGCCTCTTGACAACCAAATTGACTGTGACCTTAACTGTTTTAACATTGGTTTTGGAAGGAAGGTTTATGGCTTGGAGAATAGCTTGGTTGCAATTGTTGACGCGCCTTCGCATAGGATATGATTGACTTGAACTTGTTCTGCGACATCTACTACTGCATAGGCAAGGAACAGATTGTTGTTCTTATAGTCTGCAAAAAGAATATGCCAGCCATTATTTTCCAAATAGTAAATTTTCTCAGAGGTTAGTGCTATGAAGACGAGATTTGGCTCATATCCTTTTCTGTGTGTTAAGAGCCAAATACCAAAAAAATTGATGTTTAAAGCGCATGGTGATTTAAATCCTGAGCTTTGTGAGACATTAACGGTGGATGGTTATTCCTCTTGCAACATGCATGCAAAAGTTAATAGAGGCCTTTTGATTTTTTTGGTAATAGCTTTTTTAGAATCTTCTTAAAACTTATAACGAAATATGAAGAAATGCTAAGGACATTAATTGCGATGCATAAACACATGAACAATATGTATGTATAATTAGTGTGTGTGTATCGTTTTAGAATTAAATAAACAAAATTTTTTAAATCGTTAACCCGCCTTCTAAATGGGTGTGACATCGATCGGATGTACCACTTTCTGAACTCTTTGCTAAAATATCTATCCAACAGAAAGCAAACCTTTATACGACAGAAGTTCAGTAGTTTATAAACAAAACAGATCAGTAATAAGATCTTTGAAATGAAAAATAATTTTGTTAAATTTGGACTACTGCAGTTCAAGTTTGAGCTTCGCCCCTCAAAAATTCCCAATTAATGAATGTTTAAAACTGTTTTGGATATTTTGAATTGTCAATTACGACAGTTTCTAAATGTATATTTAGAATTTCCGCGTACGTTATTTTGAATCTTTTTAATTTTCGATGTTAAAAAATTTGTTATAAGGCTTGTAACGTTCCAAAAATTGTTGGTGTTTTTATTTGTATGAAAGGATCGTTGAATATCTAAAATCAGTTTTTTACATTTAGTCTAGTTTTCGAGATGCCGGTTAAAAGTTTAAGTTTCTTCTTTCTTGTGGGTAGATCATTCTTCGACCTTGATTTCTTAATCGGTGAAGAAATGCTTATAACAAATTCCATATTTTCATCTTTATGTTTACAATTCCAGAAATTCGAAAGAAGAAGAGGATCAAAATCATCCATTTTGGTAGAAATAAGGGATTGTTCTAGTGCTGAACAGGCATCTGAACAAAAAAATAAAACAAAAAAATAAAATAATACTAATAAGAAGAATATTCACTAATTCTGATATAGATGCATGTCGTCTGGTATGGATACCCGGTCATTATGACTTTCAACTATATGCTAATGTTGATCTTTATGCTCGTGACGGTGGACTTGATGGAGAAATTGCCTCAATAAAATATCCGCGGAAAGACATCCTTTGTATAATTCGATATAATATCGCGCAAGACTGGAGCATACTTTTGAGATAAAACAGCCTATGCAAATTCCTTCGTGATCGCAACAAAACCAATCTCAAACAGCTAACTGCCTTTATTAAAACTTCTGACTTCGCTCTCTATCACAATTATAACTGAACTTTTGCGTTGCCTAGTCGTATTTGTATCAATCCACATTTCAATAATTTCTATACAGCCATAGCCAGAACTGAATGGACTACCACAAAATGATTAATTTCTAATCATGTCTCAATGTCTCTTCTAAGAGAGATCAAAATCAATGAGCCATCAATAAATCAATAATAATCATTACCTGAACTGCATTACAGATTTTTTTTTCTGATAATCGTCTGCACTGCTGCTATTAACCATAATCCGTACAGAATAACCCATAACGTCATCACGTTAAAAAACAAATTTATAAATATGTTTTTAATTCGAAAATACGCCCATGAAACAACTTCTTTATTAAAGTATTCATTCCCTTCTCTTATTTATTTCTCTTTTGCGAACAGCTAACTTACCTTGTTGCAATTGCCATTGAATTTTAACAACTTCTTACAGGACTTGCCCCGACTTTCAAAATAAATTTCTTGCGGAGTACGACGACGTGGTGTTTTACATGCTACAAACACCTGAGACGTTTGCGACGTACTATTATAATTTACCATCACATCGTCGTTAAAGTTGTTGAAATCATAGTTACAAGAAGCGGTCTTGCTACGAATATGGCTAGTATAGAATAAACAGCTTAATATAGCACAGCAGCCAGTAAAATCCTTCGCACCTGTGGATGGTGATGATGATCGGCATTGCGGCCGAGCTGGTCTAATTAAGCCGTTCAAGTCATTGTTGTTATAACTACTGCTATATGAACCAGACGAAATGGTTTTCAGTTCGAAATCATTGTTTGACTTGAAGAGATTAACATCGGTTACCATTATCATGTCTATTCTTTGTTGTGTTGCTGGTACGATGAGGCATCTCCGGTATACGAGAGGTGCTTTTTTCGGTTTTGTACGTTCGTTGTAATAGCGAATTTGTAGCGTGATTTATGTCGCTATTTTTGCATGCAATTAGCTTAGAATTTGACGCATATTAATTGAAATTTTCAATATTGCAACCACAAGCCTTTAACAGTTGTACGTTCCTGCGTCGTGCTTTCTTTAAGTGCTTTCGCAATCTTAATTTTCCATATCCGAAAGCATCTTCACTATTTTTTGTGCATGCATGTATCGCACTAATTATTACGTCATTGTTGGTGATTGAAATTAATTCTTTATAAAATGTTATAAATTTTCGCTAATGTTGAACTAATTTTCTATGCAGCTCCATTACTGCCGTGTCTTATTGCTTAGTTGAAAATTTGCTCAAGTTTCCGTCTATTCATTAATTGCGTGTCGGTCCCTCCTGTGCATGCTCGTAGAAGTCCGTATTTTATTTTTAATTGTTCCATTTTTCATTTTGTGTTCACTTCTATGCTATGTGTTCACTACTATTTAATAAAGTTTGAATAACATTGAACCCGTTGGAATTTCTGAGCCATAATTATTTTTTACACTTAACATTCATATAGCTGCATACGATTTGTGAGCCAATTTTCTTCTTAAGGCAAACGAAACGAATTAAAATTATTTAATAAGTTGTATACTTATGCATTTGCTCAGTGTATATGCATATATTTAGAAAACAAATTGACAATGATAACACAGTTCAGTACTCTTAGCGAAAAATTTTTAATTTTAAACCTTAATCAAACGCCAAAAGCGCATGTGGGTAAGTTTTTTTTCATTTAAAGTTAACTAAACAATATAATTTTGATATTAAACGACACTTTTGAAAGCAAGTTAGTTTGGAAGTGAACGAAATAGGGACAGAGCGAAGTTAAGCAATCCGGTGATTATTACGTGCAATCTTTTCTAAATTTTTTTATGCTTCTTCACTAAGCTTGCTTTGCTTTCGAAGATGGCTTTTTTAATCTACTTGTTACCAATTATTCAATTTTGGAGAGTTTGACATTAAATATATCCTATATTCCGGCCGCTTCCTTTCTATGATTGATTTTTTTTCGGATTGCAAATCATCTCCACTTTAACTAAAGGTTTCTGTAGTACACGTTGACATTTCAAACAATTGTGAATGCATAAATTTCGCAGGTTCGCAGGACGTCACTAATATATAGCACTACACTGAGGGTGGGAACTAAACGAAAAGATATGTATTGAGAATATTTCGAATGTTCAATAAATAGTCAAAATTGGGAAAATAAATTAAATTTCGATTACGCGTTTGAAAAAATGGCGTAACTAATGTTAAAGTCACCGCTCTAGCGAAGTTTACCCAAATAACTAGTAGTAGAAAGCGAGGTGTTGTCGTTATAAGAGTATCAATGAAGGTTACCCTCTACAATATAACAACCGATTGAAGCGTAGACGATGCATGAGCGGATAACGGCGATTCTATTTAGCGAAAAAGGGTATCTTCAGAGAGTAAATGAAAGTAAAGCGCATGTGTTTTATTAAAGCAGTAGTAGTAGCTGCTTTTCTTCCTCAAGGAAAGTATTTGTAAAGTTTGATTTACACGTCAACCTTAACAAACCTTGAAGAGAGTGACAAAAATATGAAAACACACCGCAGCTATTATACTTCGTTTTTGAAGCGAATTCAGTCAATATAATTAAATAAATCTGCTATGTATCTGGTTACATTCAATTGTCATCTCAATTTACCATCTCAATATGCAAATGGATATGCATAAGGTGAGAGATAAAATTAGAAAAGTCCTCTAATTTTATAAAAAACAAATTCGAATTTTATTATATTAGGTCGTATAAAAAGCCTTTGCGGTTTTTTCCGCGGGATGGAATACTGGGCAAAACTCACCGATTGTCTTAAACAAACAAGTGCTAAAAAGGTGACATTTCAGCTTACATTTTTTGTGAAGATAATTTTCTAATTCTTTGCTCATGTAAAAAGTTTTGTATTGATATGAAAAAGGGCAAAATATCTGAAGAAATACGCCATGCGATGTTTTTTACTATGAAAAAGGTGAAACATTCAAAAACATGCCGGAAAATTTGTAAAGTGTGCTTGGTAGAGCAAGACCTGCACGCAAGCTGTCAGGGATAGAGGAGGCGCTAAACATTAATCACATGACAGTTTGGAATCATTTGAGAAAAGCGGGCTGCAAAGAGGAACCGCGTAACCGCGAAAAGACCGCAAAGACTTTTTGTAAGGCCCATTATATTAAATTATTGGATTGAAGTATTTGGCAGCAACACATTTTCCACTTGCTTCTGCAGGATTGGTTATTCATGTCAGTGCATTCATTGCATTGAAAATAAAGCAGCTACGCAAACAAATAAACTAAACTAAGAAAAAAGGTGAGATCGAAACTAAACAGTAAAATCGGAGTAATGAAAAATTATGCAGTAATTAAGATAAAATATAATATATTAATAAAGAATTATTACGTAAAATTTTTAATTGATGGTGCGTCACCAGAGTAAATAGGATCGGAATATGCTTAGCAAGCATATATAATCACCTTAAGGTAAGTAAAAAGACTAGCAATCGACTCTCACGCCATTCTCATTTCCAAGCATACGTCATTACTGCAAACGGCAGGAACTTTAATAGGTTTTTAAATCTGTAAAATCATTTTATAGGAATCATGTATTTGAAAATAATCGAGTCCTAAGTCGTGTTGATAAACCGCGGTTGAAACAGAAACACCGTCAGACAGGAATTTACTGAAAACCACATTCGAGAACATATGTTACAAATAAAAAGCATAGCACATCAATTCGTGAAGTTTCTCAAAGAAGCCTGGAAAATCCAGTCACTCAAGCGAATTGCCTGTAGTAGTGCCCTCTCCAAGACATTCTAAAAGAATAAACCCATGAACTATCTCTATTTAAACAAAGTTTTGTTTTGCAAATTCCTTAAAGACCTAATAGGCAATTCAACATCTATATATTGGTGTGCCGAACTGCGTTCTGAAGATGCGGCTTTAAAAGGCGATTGGACATTTAAGCTCCTTTTGCCAAGAGAATATAGGACGAAGGTTGAATACATCAAAAATAAGTTTATCCCGCCACGTCGAGAAATTAGATAAGTCGGGAAGTTAAAAAAGTTATTTAAGTCAAATCTTTTTTAATAAGAAATAGTTCTATAATGCTGAAAGTAAAGACACGCGAGATAGCTTTGTTTTGTGAAAACGGCGCACTCAGAATAAAACTGACCAAACATTTTGTTTGTTTTGTATGTTGAATAAGGCCAGAAGACACATTAAGGGGAAGTCCAATTGAATTTTTTGCTGGACATATCAATTAAAATATTTAAACTTTGGCCAATTTCATTATTAAGTAGTCATTTTTAAGCCAATTCTCTCTTTTATATGCTTCTTAAATGTTTTATATGCCTAAGAGTATCTGCAAGCTGTATGATTTAATTACATTATCCTAAGAAAAATACGAATGCATTAACAATAACTTTCAATTAAGCTTCGACGGACAATAAGAAACTCGCTAACTTTTTCTTAACAGCAGCTTTTGCTGCAAACCTTCATCAAATACAGGAAGAGCGTGTCATGCTGAAAAGTACGATTATGATGTGTTTCGATATATTTTGGTTGATTTTCGTTTAAAATGCGAGAGTTTTTGTTGAGCTTTGCTGGCTTGAAACAGGTTGTAGTGTGTTAGCCAGCGGACCAACAAATGAATGAAAAGTAAAAATTCATCATCCATCACAATTCGAGCCTTTTTGCTGCGAACTATATAAGAAACTATATAAGAAAACTATCGCCAGAAATTGCTTCTTTTAATGCACGACACGACTTTTGTAAAATTCCAAAAAAAAAAATGATCATAAGTAGGCCTAAAAAATCCTAAAACTGACGCAAACTTAGCTCTTACAACTAGATATACTACATTTCCTCTCTGACATATTCTACGCAGCTGTCCAGAACTGGCTATGCCTTCTACGTAGATAACTAACCAACTTTTTTTAAACTTTAGGGGACACCCAGAATTATGCATTATTCCTGTTTTCGGTATTGCACTTCAACTTTGTACAATTTTTATTAGACTTTGCGGGAATTGGTTATAATAAGACTTCGTATGTAAGGAACTAAATCAGAAAAACGTAGAATTAGAAAAAATAAACACAATTTATAATAAATTTAGATGTTATTTATCTAATTTATATTTATTTTGCAAGTAATTTGAAATTTTAATTTATTTATTTATTTTTTTTTTTTGGTATGTTGAACAGAGATGGATATATTAATTTATAATCCATATTATATTTTAATAAATAAAATGTGGTTTTCAAACCAAAACATACTGTATGCTCTTCTTTTTAAACTCACTTACTTCATTTTTCCTTCTTCGCCTTCGTCTTCTTCATAATCAGTCAATTTTTACGTTAACTTTTTGCATCGATAGTTTTCATGTGTTAGTTGTTCACATTTATATTTACCTCTTTATTGTTAACTATCAAACCGTACGTTTTCCCTTACATTTATTATACATCGATTCATTGATTTTTTTCTTATCAAATAATGTGGTAACGCTCATTCCATTGCATTTACCACTTGAGACTTTGTTTTTTTCAAATATTTAAATTAAGTATGTGGGGTAATCATGTAAGCAGGCGGCAATTCAATAGACGACAATCGTCAAGGTAATCTAATCATGTTGGCAAGTTTGCTGACGATTGTCGCTAAATGCCGTCTCTCATTAACGTCAAAACTCGCGACAATGAAATTGCTGCCACTGAGAACAAATTTTCGTTAGTATTGAGTATAAACCAAGCAAAGTTACCACAAATTCCCCTTTCAGGGCTTTGTTTGTAAAGAAAAGCTGCAGAAGGAAAATATAAAAAGCCGTTAGAAAATGAATTATTAATTCAAAAATTTAAAAAAAGTATAACAAAATGAAGAGTGTCCGAGGTTACATTTGTTGATTGTGAGAAAAATACAAAGAAATTCGTAATTATAAGTACAAATCTTTGTTTAAATCTCGAGCTTAATTAAGTAATTTAATACTTTATAGCCAAACACCAACCCTACGTATTTCCTATTCATTTCATTTTGCAGCCTTGTTTACCACACGCAGTTTGTTTATAAATATAAATAAACGTAAATTTGGCTTATATTTTTTACGTTTCACTCAATTCTTAATGCATTCTAATGCAAACTTTGACGGGAAGCATTGGAAAGATGGCGACGATGGTACCTCATTAGTCCCTTAGCAATAATCAATTAATTGACGATTGCCCCCCTGTTCATTTTTCAACATCGACAACGTACTTTAATAGAAGAGTAAATACGAATCGAGGAAAATGTTCACAAATGTTTGTGTAGTAAATCACAACATCTGCGTCGTTTCGCTAGAGTTCTCCCAATTGAGGCAAGAAAGTGAGGAAACAATAACTTGCATACTTTTCAAACCGAAGTAAAGAACGTAACGAATAACCTAAAAGGATGTTTTTATAGGTAAATTCGTAAGCTAGTGTGCAGATATATGTAATAAATATAAAAAGTTATAAAATTGAAAGTTCAAGTTTAAATCAAGTTTATATTAAATCGTTCTCTTCTTTTGATACCTGCAACTTTCTGCCATGAGACGAGTTAATTTGCTTTTGATTTTTCAAATTTTTCTTTTTATATTGTTGACCATTCCAAACTGTTACATAAGCAAATCCAAAACGGCAGAGTGTAGTTTCTTGTGCTTTGCTCATAGGATGAAAACCTGACAAGGAATAATTGCTTTTATTAGTAATTAATATTAATAATTATGTAATTATTAATATTAAAAGCGAAAACGAATACATGAACTTGCTTTTGCTTCTAGTTTTGTTGTTTCTTCGGCCTAGTAACCTATCACATACACGTTTTTAAACCTAGATAAAGAAAAAATTACAAAATAGACCAAAAATTACACTCACGATCATATTTCACTTGTGGAAGATTTTTCTTGGCACTAACTCAGAAAAAAGTCAAAAACTTTGCCTGTTTATAATCAAAATAGCCCGTATTTTATTATTCGCAACTTATGGAATTTCTTATTAGGCTGATTCGGTTAGCACTGTAATTCATTATTTGGAATTTTTTTATTCGTTAAAAGTGATTGTTATCGTTTTCCCTTTTTCTTGGATATGGAGTTTATATGGTTTATATTATTTCACATTATTTAATTTTATCAAAAGTTTTATATAATTTTGGTTTTATTTACGTTTGCATGATAAACAAACGTCAAATTTGACCTTTAATTTCTCTTTATTATTTTGAAATAAATTTTGATTGTCGAAAGGCAAACACGTAAATATCTTTCAAGATACGCCATGTAAATGTCAGAGCCAGTTCACTAAAAGATATGTGAGCAACGCCTAGAAGTGAAATTTGATCGACAAACTCATAATATTAGCGCTAATAGTAATTTATAATGATAAGGCAAATGCGTGGTTATATGCATTCAAGTTTTGTTAAGGTATAAAAAACTAGTTTACACAAATTATTTGTGTAATAAATTGTTATTGTTTCTAGTTATATTAAACACAACATGTTCTTACAGAAACCCGCACTTACGCAAGACAAGAAAGTAAATTTTAGCTAAGAGCTGTGGTGAAAAGTGAATGCTGTATATATATATAAAAAAAACGTTGTTATTTGATAAGCAAAGCGAAAAAGGGTATAAATATAAAGTTTACTAAGATATACAATTCTATTAAAGAGATAGGTTAAGAGAAAAAATATGTATAAAGTTTGTGAGGACCTTTTTCTAGGACCAAAGGTGAGCTCGTCGGAAAGCAGAGAGACCGAATTAGCTAAGCTATTTTCTACATCTACTAATTAAGCTAGCCCGTACACGACAGGGAAAGGAAACACGATGCATTTGACTTTATATCTTTACAATGATAATTTTTATTTAATTAGCTTTATATTTTGTTTTAGCTCTATCAAAAGAAAAAAAACCAGATTTAAAATATTTCAATTTAATTTTCTCAGGTTTTATTTCTGAACAGATGAAATACAATGCTTGCTTAAATAACAAATCTATCTATGTTTGCTACAATTGTAATTTAGAAAGTATAACAATAAAATAATAATATTAATAATAATAATGATTATAACAATAACAATAGTAATGATAATGAGCACACACAACATCGTACTTTTGACTTTTAGAAAAGTTTGACATTGCCACCGTGTCAAATCTTAGCTGAA